TTAGGGATCCTATACATGTGCAGGCAAGCTGATCTGACACACTGTAATTATGTGATGAATCAACTCTATAGGAGTGTGGTAATTACCATGCTCCAGCAGACTCTAGCATCATGTGTATCAGTGTCCCTGTGCTAAAAAAATGGCTGTGGGGTTCTTTCAACTAAAACCTGTTCCACAAGCTTTAGTTCAAAGCACCCCACTGCCATTTTTCAGTGTTGGGACACTGATATATGTGATGCTCTGGTTCCTTTTAATTAGGGTGGCTGTCAGTGCTGGGCTAATTAAAGCCCCCCCCCCACTGTCTCCACTCCCATCTCCTGGAGCATGTCTGTAAAAGCCCTTAGTGATTAACAGGCATTCCATTTTTTTTCTCATAAAAAAAAATCCCCAATTTTTGGATTTAAAAAGTAACCCAAAATCCAGATTTGTCCATGATTAAAATGAAACACCATTATATATATATCTATATATATCCCTGGTGATTAAGGCACTTTCCTCAGGATTGGGGAAAAGGATTTGAACATGGTGAGAATCCAGATCTCCCAGTTCCTTTGTGATGTCTCAAAGCTATTAGATAAGGTTGGGGAGTACCACTTCCTCTTCTCAAGTTTTAAAAGAAAAGAATAACCCCTGCACTGTTTTTGAAAGAGAAGGGGCATAACTACTTGGCTTTAGGTGACAGTTCTGAGATATGAATTTTGTGGATGTAAATGCCTCCTAGAAAAGCTCTAGAATGGAGTGAATTTAAGAATCATCTTTTTTTTAAAAGAGTTTTCCTACTGAGTCCCTGATCAACATGATTTTTTTGTGGACACCATTCTGAGGTACCCAAATCTTGTTATGTACCTAGAAAGCGTAAGTGTATAAGGCTGTGTCCTGATTTCTGTTATTTAAGGCAGGTACCTGATAACACTACGAGTCTCATTGTGGAGGAACCCAAATCCTTTTTTCCATCTTGACATGAATTTTGAAAGATATTTTGTGATATTTAAAGTCACTCTTACACAAAAACACACACATTACTTCTCTTTCTCCCTGGCTTTTAACATGGAGTAACAAAATGAGTAGTAATTCTTCCACAAAATATCACCACTCTAGTTTTGGTTTAATTAAAAAAAAAGGGGGGGGGTAGAAGAAGGATGGTGATTTTTTTTTCAGCTTCTAGGACTAGATTCAGCTCTGAAATCATTGTTCAAATGACTACAAATGAAAATCACCAGGAACCCAGTTGTAAGAACCAGAGCAAGAAACTTGAGTTGTCTGAGAGATGGGATGAAATCATAGGTATTTATGCAGAATTTGCAGCTGCAAAGGGGAAAAGATGATGTTAGTATTTATTTTTACTATGCAGTATGTATTAATCATGCTGACTCAAAATGGAAACCCTGATGAAAATTTTAAGCAGAAAAGTGTGGAACGGAGATGATTATTTTTATTTGAATCAGGGGAACTTTGAACACAGGTGCAGCAAGGTATAAGGAAGACATTATTAGTAGTATTATTAGTAGTATTATTATTGTTATTATTATTATTTGCATTTATTAGAAAGAAAGAGGGATACACATCTACAACTGGAAGGCAAAACTTACACTAAGAAGAGAGAATTATTAGTTCAACATAACAGGTTATTCAGGTACAATTCAATAGACAATGATAAGGTTCTACAACTAGAGGTACAAGGGAAAAACAAATGTGAGAATAGAATTATATAGACATTTATTTCAGATGATTCACATCTCCAAATGAATCAAATAACTTAGAAGTAGGAAGGATATTTTAACTGTCTTCTCATGTATGTTCATAGTCAGGTTTTTTTACAACCCATTCTGTTCCATCACAAGTAAACTTGGAATCTTTGCCCTGATTTTCTGCAGATATAAATTATCCCGTGTCTGTCACTTTTAAAGTTCCCACTAAATTTTAATAACGCCTGACGGGAAGATAATCAAAAGAAAAATCCTATTTTTTCAATGGACAGTGAATCACGTTTATAACCTTAAAAACAATAATTTAATTGACATATTAGTTTTGTTTGGTTTTGTTTGGTTTTTTTCAAGAGTCTGTGTGTGCTCAAAACTCTAGCTGAGCTCAATGGGACATTAACATTCATTCCTTCAATATACATTATTTTGCTTTAAGAGGACAAAGAGTAATATGCTCAGCTTAAACATGTCCATTTTCATTAGGTTTCATTAAAATAACAAAGTTAAACTTTTTTTGCACTTTTTTTCTTGACATAGCAGGATGAAATTTTTCATTTCAAGATAGCTGGTTAAAATTCCCCATCTAGATTGGTAATGATGAAAAGTTATATTCTCCTATTCGTGTTTAGTTCAGATTGCAAGTCTGTGTTCTCTGGGATGATGACCAAAGAATATAAATTCTATTCAATTAACATTTATTACAGACAGCTTGTGACTGCATACATTTCTAGTGTGCATTAAAATAGTTATTTTTTTCTTCATCTCTTTTTACTGCTTCACCTTAATTATGTTAAAACCACTTTTCTAAAATCTAAATTTATCAGTAGGAGTAAAGCTAGGTTTAGTATGCCCTAAACATTCAATTATTTAAGGTAATGAAATAAAGTATAGTACACAAAAACAGACTCATATAGAAATTAAGTGCTGCAGGCTCTTACTTATGAAAGGAACCCTATTAAGTCAATGATGTCATATGAGTCTCTGTTTTCAAGATTCACTTAGAGGTAAAACACTGAAGTTTGGAAACAGGATTTCTCCTACTGGTATGTTAATTTTGAGTTAATTATCCATTGATACAAATATCAAATGTGCATGCATAGCATTTAATGCTTTAGTCTGCATTTAGGCACCTGACTCAAACAGTAGATGTATAAAGTGGGATTTATATGTGTAAATAAATACATAAATGTTTTAATATTGGATTTAATATAAAATAGGACATGGCATACTATTGTATCAGGTGCCTAAGTTAGTTTAGGTTCTGTTCTTTAATTTGTCCACAGTTCACCTAACCTGCAGAACCAAAATCCAGGCTCCACCATTTTTTTTTAGATAGCTTAACTAGGAAAATATTTTAAACAAAAGCCACAGTGTTTTGAAATGTCTAACAAGGAAAACTTCAGGAAATAGTACTCACTGCCAAGTCAAGAAGAGATGATTTGTTTGTCCCCAGTTCAGTAAAACACATTAAGTATATGCCTTAAAGCTGAGCCTGTGTTTAAATGTTTTGCTGAATTAAGGCCTTTTACTGTGCAGTTCACTCTTTATGGGTAATAAGAAGACAGTTACTGAAGTAGAACAATAAAGTGTCTTCTCATTCCAAGCTAATTTTTCCTGACCTCTAATTCTCTGTTCAAAGCAGTTCAGAACCATACAGGATGAAATCGTTTGCATATGTAAAAGGCCAGAAGCCCATTAATTTCCACTGAACTCTATAGTTCATAGAAGTGGAAGTTGTGGCCCACTGATTTATTTTGGCAAAGAAAAGTTGCTCCATTTTTTTTGGCAGTAAAGATGCTCTATAATCACCAGTTACTAAATCTCTAGAAGAACAGAAAAGGTACTCTGAGCATACATCCATAGGCCAAGAATCCAGATAATTCAAAGTCAAATCAACTACAAATTCAGAGCTCTCTGACCTATAATACCTGTTCAGTAAGCAACAGGTTCAGTGCCAATATATAGAGAGAATTCTATTAGTACTCAGTAGTAAATGATTCTTTTCCATTAGGCTTTACATTTTGAGTTGGTAAAAAGGTAAGTGTGATTTTCAACAGATGTCTCAAAAATTCAAATGAAATGTAAAATCTTACTTTTTCTAACAAACTTTTTTTTGTTTTATTTTGGAGGGCAGAAAACAACTCTTCCTTAATTTTTTGATAAAGGGTAAGGAGGGATCATGAAGGAGTGTTTTTAAAATAAAATAAATCAATTAATAGAATTATAATAGCAAAAAATCATATTAGTCAAAACAGCATTTTTCATAAAAAAGAAATGGTAATATTAGAAGTATCGTGCTAAAAGTCCCATGTCCCTGTCTGAATTTTTTGTTTAGGTCAAAAATCTCCAGTTGAGTAAATCTCAAGCTTTTCATGTAATATATCTATTTCAACAATTGTTTTCAGGAAAGTGCCTTAAGTCCAAGATAGAATTTCTTGCCAGAGAGAAATTGCCACCTTGAAATAGACCAAATCTTAGTTGTTAAGATACTAATGTAGGATGTTGGGGTGCTTGTGCATGTGAGGGGGTTGAGTTCCCTTAAATTGAAATGGTAGGTTTTTCATTTGTGAGTTTTTAACTGCCATCCACCATTTCAATTTAGGGGCTTATGTCACTGTGACGGAACAGTGATGGCCCACCGCCAGCTCAGCCCCTGTAGCTGTGGGCAGGCTCTGCTGGGCAGAAAAAAAGTGACGAGGGCCCTGATCCCATTTTTCCCCTCCTGGCGGAGCCTGCCTGCCTCTCCTGTAGCTGGAGGGGACAAGCCGCCAGCACCCTCTGATCTATGGGGGGCCCTGGTGCTTCCCTCTGAGGCAACAGCACCCCCCAGGAGGCACCCACCAATAGCAGCCTCCCAGGTGGCCCTGACGGTGCCTCCACCATGGAGGGAAGGACTAGGGCCCACCCACACCAAAGAGACTGCTGGCACCTCATCCCTGGCTCTGGGAGAGGCAGGCAGGCTCCATAGGGGAAGGATTGGGCCCTTTTTTGGGTTTGTTTTTTTTTCAGCAGAACCTGCCCACACGAACTGCCTCACAGTCGTGCAGCCCCTGAGCTGTGGGAGTGTACGGTGTTTCACTCCATGGTGGCAGCACCCCACAGGTCCACCCGGGAGGGGTACTAGTGGGGTGGGTCCCTGCCACCTTCTTCCGCCACCAGCACACCCAGCTTGCCCCTTGGACAGCACAAAGAGGTGGCAGGAGGGTGTCTGGGTGTGCTGGTGGCCACAGAAGGTAGCAGGGATGGTGCATGAGGTGTTTGAATGCTAGTTGTACTCAGGAAAGCTCAAATTTGGCCGGTTTCCAGCATCCCATGCACTGTCTCTGCCACCTTCCCACCTCCTGTGACCACCCAGGAATGGGCTAGCTTGCCCCTGGGGTAGCGTGGGAAGGTGGCAGGAAGACAGCCAGGTGTGCTGCCAACTGGAGAAGGAAGTGGGGATGGCATGGGGCACTGGAGTCCCTCCAAGCCTGAGCTTCCCCAAGCACATCAGGGCTCCCAGCACCCCGTGCACCATTCCTGACACCTTCTCCAGCCACCAGCAAACCTAGCTGCCCTCCTGCCACTTCCTGCCACCTCTCCATGCTGGCCCAGGGTCAAGCTGGGTGTCCTGGTGGCTGGAGAAGGTGATGGGGACAGTGCACAGGGTGCAGGAAGCCCAGTAATGCTAGGGGAAGCTCAGACTCAGTGGGATTCCAGCAGCCTATGCACCATCCCTGCTGCCTTCTCCAGCTGCTAGACATGTACATGTGCACAATTGTTTTTATCAATATTGAACAATTTGTTCCAATCAAATTAAAATATATCAGAGGTGGTCAAATTTGCCACGCTCACATACATTTTTACACAAAAAAAATCATGCATGTGTACATGATGCCACCATTATGTTAAACAAATAATGATTTCTCATCACTTTTTGTCTCAAATACATGGCACTGCCATCGTGTGTACAAGCATCTTTGGAGACCAGCGTATATTGAGTCCCTTAGGAGAAATGTAAGACAATACAGTGCTCAGTATTGCAGCGTATAATACTGAGATGCCTAGTCACTGTATAGAAGTCACATATCAAAATTAACCTTCCCAAAAATTGCATGAGAAGTGGTAGGTACCTAAGAGTGGGATCTCATAAGCCAAAATGTGAAACAAAGAAAGAGACATATCTTAAATTCCACCCTTCTCCAAATTATGTACGTCTTATGGTAGGAAGTAGAAAGGTTCTTCTCCTCTATGGTATTCACATGCCTGTATTCTCAGTGCAGTGCCTTAGAGTTTTCTTTCAAAAAAAAAATAGGAGAGGTGAATGTTTATATTTCCAAGAGATTACTGGAGGATGCATACAGTCCTTTTATCTAATAACTCAGTGCTTCAAGCACTCTCATTTTGCCTTTTGAAATCATTATTCTGCTCATATCTTACTGTAGAACTTTTTTTCCTCTTTAGTTTACATCTGCAACTCTATATAAAGCATTCTCTGTTTGAAGGGTACTCTAAAAAGTATTAAATTACTACTTAGGCACAGAGAACCATGTGCTCAGAAACTGTTATGGATGACATGGTTTAAGTCATAATTGAGGTACATACAGTAGTTGTGCAAACATCAGAAGCCAACAGTGACTGCATTCAGAGATTTTCTAGTGTCAGAGAAGCCTATGTTTATTTCTCTCTCTTTGTGTGAACAAAATTTTGGCTCTTTTAAAGTACTCAGGAAAGGGCATGGAAACGTTTGCTTTATGTAATTGCCATTTCCAGAAGCAAGCACTTAAATACTTTTTTCTTTTCTTTCCTAAATGCCAATTATTTACTTATACAAAGTGCTAGATTGACAACATTCAAAATTGGCCTCCTCCATCTACTAAGCAGATTGGTGGAAGTGTATATTAGTAAACTGAAGTGACCACTGTCTCCTACCATTCACTCTTGCTAACAGAAGTACTAACAGTGGGGAGTTTTTGTGATCTGTATACTTATCCATAAAGGTCTGGACCAAGTGTATGTGGTCCAATTGCCTCCAAATAAAGTTATATATGTTGCAAGGAAGTCCATGGTCAAAGACTAAACTTGCAATAACTTATTCTGTTGAAACTTTTAAAAAAATGAACATTTTTAATGGTATTTATTACTATCAATATGAACCAAATTTAAACTACTTACATAGATGTAAAAGATCTCAGTTTATATATTCTTTTTTTTTTAGTTGGCCCAGGCCTTAACAGAAAACTAAAAAACAGCTATAGAACTGGAACTTGTAGGAGAGGCTGGGGAGTGGCCCCTGCTGGGCCCCTGCAGGAGAGGCTAGATAGGGGAAAAGGCACCCGGTTGGGCTTGGATAATCAATACCATTCTGGCCTGCAGGCTCCAAGCCCTGAATGAAAAAAATAACCTACCCAGCCAGGTCTGGGAGCACCATGCTGCCTGGCACACTGCAGGAAGCTGCCAAGAGGCTCTGACTTCACCTGGCAGAGCCAGAGTGAGCAGCACTGCCCAGAGCTCCAGAGGAACTCCAGGGGAGGGAATTCACTCTGCAGGAGCCAGGGAAGCCAGGTTGCTAGGGAAACACTGGGCAGGGAACTCATCTAGTAGGGTCCCAGGCAGGCAGTGCTTCCCTAGTGTGCAGGGAAGAGAATGGGGGCCAAACACCTGGCCTAGGGAATACGTGGCCCAAGGGCCTGTGCTGATTGGCCCACTGGGAAAGCCCAGGAAGTTTAAAGGGAGAACACCAAGTACAGCTTGGCATTTGGCATGGAAGAAGAGGGGACACAGCAGCCAGAACAGGAGGAGGGTTCAGCGGCAACGAAGACCCAGCAAGCTGAAACCTCATGGGATGACAGGGAGACTGCAACCCTGAGTGAGCAACCAACCCAACCTACCATCCAAATAAGTGAAGCTGGATGGCAGGATGCTTTTGGGTGGCCCACTGGCCAAGATATGGCAGCACTGGGCAAAGGAGTATCCCAGAGAGAGAGAGTACTAAACCCTCAGGCAGGAGGGCAGGAAGGGACACCAATGGCAGCTAGCCTTAAAGGGTCCTAGATAGACCCAGGTAAAGAAGGGGTTTGCCTGGAGGAACTGAGTAAACGAGCCCACTGGCCCAGGTTATCTGTGCATAGTGGAGCTGAAGCCTGGTGCAGACCCAGAAGTTTTCCTTTGTGTTGTTACCTAGTAATCCTGAGCTAGGGTAGTAAAGCAGGGGAAAAGCCCGATCCCTTGCACACCTGAGTTCTGATTAATCAAGCCCAAGAGTCAACACTTGAGACCCAGTAGTATCTGAATGTGAATCCTGGGACTGGCAAGCAGAGACCCCATCTCCCTAGGACCCACTGATCTTGGAGAGAACGAAGACTACCTCAAGTAGAGTGGAGACATTGGAGGAAGAGTAACCTGCCTAGAGGGTGCAGCCACAACCTTTCATGAAGCCCACAGCCAACCGGCCTGGAGAGGATCCAAGTACTGGTGATACACATTCAATACTAAGAGGAAGATATGACTTGTTACCTGAGAGGAAAGGGGCAGGTTGTAGGGGTAGTGGAGCCCTGGAGAAGACTGACCTTGCCCGTATGATCATCACCCAAGATACCCTGTAAACTCCCGAGAACTAGCTTAACATTGAAGACATGGCAGATGAGAGGGAGGAAAAACAAAGTAGAGGTCCTGGAGATTCCAATGGCACAAGGAGTAGCAGGTAAGTCCATGAGCTGACAAACTGGATATAATTTTAAGGTTTCTTTATTTAAAACTTACAGAAAACAGAGCAAAATGGGAATCAATTAAAGAACAAATTCCAACAGAAGATTTGGAACCTATCATACTGAAAAATATGACAGTTAATTTAAAATCTCAGGGTACCTGTACATGTGCAGAACCTCTGCTCTGATGCTCTGTAATTAAAGCATGTCAGAGCAAACTCAATTAATCGAATCTGCTGGAGTGTGCTAAATAGCACACTGCAGCAGCCTCAGCATTTCATGTTTTCAGAATCCCTCATGATTCAAAATGGTGGTGGAGGCACTTTAATAATAGCTTATCAAACAAGCTTTAGTTAAAGTGCCCCCACCACCATTTTCAAGTGTGGGACACTGAATACATGAGATGCTGTGGGCACTTTAATTATAGCGGTTCTCAGGAATTGGTCTAATTAAAGCACCTCCTGCCCACCACCATGTAAAGATGCCCTCAGCTGCCAAAATAGCATTCATGTCATTTCATTTTGTCTCCAAGTTATAATTAATTGTTTGCAAATTATCTTCCTATTAGATACTCCCATTATCTCTGAAGCATACAGCATATGACCAGACCAGTTATTCCATGAAAGGAGAGAAGGCAGTATGAGGATGTAATAATTTAGAAACTTAAAAAAATATATCTCTAGCCATGCCTTTTTCAGTTAAATCTTAAAAGCTTACTATAAAACTAAAACAATGAAAGGACAAAGTTACATGACAGTGTATCTTAACTCTTCTTAACTCTAAAATGATGTAGACATCTACTTCAGAAGAAATACATGTTTCAAGCCTAAGTTTTAGTTTTCCATGTATAGCAGAATTCAAAAGCCTTCATTCTTTATTCAATACCTGCAACATTTCTGTAACTATCTATCTTTTCTGTTACATTCCTACTTATACAATATAGTCTCATAAAGATATCCAAGACATTACGAAAATTACTTGCTGGTATAAAATGTGTCACTGTAAAAGAATACATTTAATTTCAAAGCCAAGTGATTTAATGAATAAGAATACTGACAACCTTCAAAAATGGCCTTGTGAGCTATTTGATCTCTTGATCTGAGGTTCTTTCCTGGTCATCTAAAGGGCCATTTTTTGGGTGTCTACACATGATTTTGGACACTTGTGTGCCAAGGGGTATCCTTGTATTCATGGACTACATAGTCACACAAGGCATGTGCAGTGGTGGACATAGACCATATGTGTACCCCTTGTGAACATGTGGCATCTTTAGATTTCTAGAAGTGGAGTCATCTAGAACCAAAAGAAAAGCTATAGGTACATGTGGTTGTTCACTGTGGTCTACATTCATGAAGCTTGTTTTAAGCTTTCTGAGCATACACTAGGAGTAGAATGTACAGCTATTTGCTGCTCCTGGAAGTCACATGGAGAGCTTAGTGTAAGTAATTCATGGTGGAGGAGGGGCAGGCTGCATTGAGCGATTAACAGGTCATCAGGGGGAGTTGGCAGGTTGAGGGATTGTGTTGAATTTCTGTAGACTTTTGCAGTTCAACTCCATGACTGATTAAGCCCAGCCCTATGCCTATACTATTCCCATGCTGATGGCCTTAACTAGGCTATTTTTAGCTTCCCTGACTTCCCCCAGGAGGATGGCAATAGTATATTCACAAGATTTGGTTTAACACAATATCAAGTTAAGTTAGTGCACCTACTCAGGTGAACTAACTTAGTTTCACAGTTTCTAGCGTCGGAAGGGACCTGAGTAGATCAACTAGTTCGACCCCCTGCCATGGCAGGAAAGAGTTCTGGGGTCAAACAACCCCAGCAAGGTGTACATCTAGCCTCCTCTTAAAGACCCCCAGGGTAGGAGCCAGCACCACTTCTCTTGGAAGTTGGTTCCAGATCCTAGCTGCCCGGACCATGAAGTAGCGCCTCCTGATATCTAGCCTAAATCTACCCTCTGCCAGCTTGTGACCGTTATTCCTGGTCACTCCTGGCAGTGCTCAGGGGAAAACGGACTTCCTCAGTGCCTGCCGGTCCCCCTGACTAGTTTGTAACAGGCCGCTAGATCCCTCCTCAGCCTTCTCTTCAGGAGGCTGAACAGGTTCAGGTACCGTAGCCTCTCCTTGTAGGGTCTGCCCTGCTGCCCCCTGATCATGCCAGTGGCCTTCCTCTGGACCCTCTCCATGTTGTTCACATCCCTCTTGAAGTGTGGCACCCAGAACTGGACGCAGTACTCCAACTGCGACCTGACCAGTGCCGCATAGAGGGGGAGGATCACCTCCTTGGACCTGCTCGAGATGCATCTGTGGATGCATAACAAGGTGCAGTTAGCCTACCTGACTGTGTTCTCACACTGTCGGCCCATGTTCATCTT